TATTATAGGTCAGACTGTACTGCAGCACTTCCCAGTCAAGTTGAATGGTTTTTCCAGCCAATTTGAAATGGCACGCGTTCCGAACGTCGAAAAAGACACTAATTTTGAACGAAACAAACAGTTTCACATCTCAAGTTGAAGTTTTCACATTCAATATGAACTATACAGTACTGGCCATAAACCATACCATAACGACCGGACAAATATTTGCTGGATATGTGCTTCGGACACGCACTTAAGTGGATTTACGCATTAAATGCGAATCGACGTTCTCTTGGGAAAACAACGCCTCAAGAATCACCAACGATTGTGTGATGCACGGCATGGATTCGTGAGCGACGTCCTCGTGTAGGACCATTCGGTGCTCAAGGAAGGTGCGGTACTCTCCTCGCTCAAACATGAGGGCCGTGTGGTGCGCCAGATAACCCTTGATGCGAGACTTGAGGACGCTGAAACAACTCTCAATGGGATTCAGCATAGGGGAATACGACCCAAGGCGCAAAAGCATCATGCCATCGCACTGGACAACGCGTTCCTCCGTTTCTGAATAAGCTGGTGCATTGTCCAACACGATGAAAACGCGCTTTCCCGCGAAGTGTTCTTGCCATCCAGCACTCGTAGATCGTCTCGACATAGGCTGAGTTTTTGTCCATCTTGATGACGCCTCGTTCCAGACGATAGCAGACAAGACCAAGCTCGGCAGAAACAGCGCACTGGACTTGCATATTCGGCCCCTTCGATGGCGGCAGGACTGTCGACGCTCGAGTTCCCCATTTGAAACGTCCGCGGCTGCGCTTGCAGTAGAGATTGTAGTTCATTTCATCGTAATACACGATAAAGTCACCGTCTTGCTGATGCTGCTTGAGCTTACAGTTAGCTCCAAACTCCCGCCGCTTCTGCTTGTTGATGTAGTTGTTGCATGTGACCGGCTCGATGCCAACTTATTTCATAGTATATACCATACCCAGAAGATGGCGGCTTATGGTCTGTATGGATACGAACTTGCCCGCAAAGTCGGCGGCAACAAACACTTTCATCTCAGCAAGCGATATTGGTAGTTATCTTTCACGTAGCGCTCGAGCGCGGCGACGACATCCGGAGTGACTTTTACTTGCGACGCTCGGTGGCAGCCACGCGGTTTCAGCTCGGTGCGCCCGCTGTCAACCACACGCCAAGCCGTGGTTTCGGAGAGTCCATTATAATTGGCACGAGCTTCCAATCGTCACCACGTTGATACGCGTCAAGCTCATGTTGCTTCTCCTCGGCCTTTGAGCTTTGGCGGAGTGGGCATTGCAACACGATGAAATGGGAAGTGAAGAAAAATCATCATTAGCCACATTGCTTTCGCGCCTACATTTCCTGCTTTCTTATTTCACATTGATTGGAGTATTCGTCGTATTGAGCCGAAATTTTGCACATCACTTCACTTGTGAAATTTTATACTTATCTGGACGTTTCACATTGACTGGATTCAACTTGACCAGGAAGTTGTGCTAGTAACATAACAGTAAGCACAAATCCTCCAAGTTTTCATACGCTTTCGAAAATGATACATTTGAACAAGAAATGCGATTTTGGGGTCACAGCGAAGTCAAATGTCGACAGTATAATGGAACAGAGGATAATGTATGACAATGGAGATGGTGCGTGTGGAGTCCATGTACTCCACGAGCTCAGCTACCAGCGGCAATACTGGTGCTAGTACCAAGGATATGTTCCATGAAGAGTATGGTCCAAAGTGTGAAAATTAGTGACAGCAAAAGCTCGAGACCAATTGAAAAACTCATTCATCCGATTTCGTAGGCCCAATATACAAACATCAAGAGAGGAGTAGGACGGCCAGCCTACGTTTTCGCATTCACACCAGGATATTGAACTTGGTCGGTATACAACTGCCTATATATATGACGAATGGCGAGTGATTATCCGAAATCGTAGGCCACAGCTGACGCTGAAAACGGCATCGATAATTGGATAAAAACCGTATTGTACGAAGTCAATGGCGCCGATGACGATCCTGCAGCGACAGGAAACGTCGCTAGAGGACATCATCGACTCGTGCCTCGCAGACAGCACGAAGGAGCGATATGAGTCAGGACTTCGCCAACTCATCAAGTGGATACACTTGACCGGTGGTACAGACCTGCTTAAAGACGACGGCATGATCGACCTGCGCGTTTTCCAGTACACACACTTCGTCCAATTCATATCGTGTGGGTGTACCAAAACACACCCGTCAAGGTCGGAACAATGTCTGGGTACCGTGCTGCACTGCGGTGGTACTACAAGCGCGAAGACGTTGCGATGCCTGTGGAGTACTCGAGTACTCAACCAAGCTCAAAACCATATTTACAGGTCTGCCAATGTGCGTCATCCTTTACGGTACTCATACGACGTCGAACCTAGGTATGCACCGCTTGACAGCACCTGACGAGCAAACATCGACGCTCAAGGATTCGGGCAAACGGCCGCTTGGATTCAGCATGTACGAAGCCCTGTGCCAGGAGTCACTGAAGACATCCGACAGCGGATTTGTGCAACTGTACCTCGTGATCTCGTGGAACTTGATGGCGCGCTCCAAGTCAACCGAGACTATCCACATTGATCACATTTCGTTTGAAGAGGATGCCATTGGCATCACGTACATCAAGTCCAAGACTGACCAGACTGGGTCCAAGCGCCGCGACCCTCGACACGTCTACGCGAATCCATCGTCACCGGCAATTTGCACGTTCCTCGCTCTAGGCATGTATTTCGCATGCAATCCAACTTTGGCCAACGGATCACTTTTCCCAGGTGCCAACCAACGCGATCGTTTCGGCAAGGCACTCAAGGCATTGGATTACACAGTGCTGGGTGAAGCTGCAAGTGGAACAGTTGGAACTCACTCCATTCGAAAAGGCGCGGCGACGTTCGTGTGCTCGGGCAGCACAAGCGGACCATCGGTCATTAGCGTGTGTTTGCGGTGCGGATGGTCGCTGGGAAACGTCGTGGAACGGTACATGCACTACGAAAAGGCTGGTGACCAGTTCGTTGGCCGTGTCGTTGCAGGCCTACCGCTCAACAGCGCAGACTTTGCCCAACTGCCACCCCACTTCGACAGCACTGACAACCCTGTAGTCACAAGCGCTCTCAGGTGCATGTTCCCAGTTCTGTTCAAGACAGGGTCACTTATCGGCGTCCTGAAGCTCGGTTTGGCATCCATCGTACACCACGCTTACTGCTAATGTTAAATTGCGCATGAGACGGGGAGTTTGGGTATGCAAATTTCATGATCGACCTATTCCTGCACAACGATTTGCTAGTGTACAGGAGGAGATCGTTAGAACCACTTCATTCTTTCCACATATCCTAAGTTTCAAGGCTCTGCGTTGGTACATCTCTGTCTAGTCAATGTCACTGTTGCCTCCTTGGAAGCTGGCAGAGTCGGCGGCGACGTTTGGGTCACCATTGCCAATAAGTCCAGAATAGCTTGACAGATGTGGTCACCTGCAGCGTTGTACGAGCTTGCGAGTGTAATTCCCGCAATCAAATTTACATTGTACTTTCTAAAATATAATTTTCACACATTGAAGACTAACGTTAGGTTTGAATTTCTGCACACTATCACATGACTTGACGAATCAGGGTTAAACTCGGAGGTACTAACATCAATCCATAGGCCACTGCGGCGACGAGTCGATGAAGCCGTCGCATATTGCGGTCGTCTCGCCAGCAGGAGTATAAGCGAGAAGTCAATTCTCACCCAAATCATTATTATCACCTGTATCCCTATTTACTTCATGCCATCAATATTTTGAGGTTTGGTCCCAGGTGTCACGAGCCTATGAAGAATATATAATACTAGTATATGTATAACTGCATCGCCTGTTTTCTTAAATACGTATTCATGCATATATACTTTTATACTTAGAAATGCATATCTGTTCTTTAGACCTATTTACAGTTTGTGTAAAAACTATTAGTTCCTATTTTCTGAGTACATCTATATATTTGTTGTAATACACTATGGGATGTTTGTTCTGTCTGTATATTGGGCGATATTTCTAAGAACTGTTACATTTTTTCTATGTACATGTATTGTGGTTTTAGTTTGTACTATTAATGGTATTTGTATACTAATACAAGAGAATTACTGGTATTCAATACATTTGCTTGTGTTTATATACTATCTGTGCAATAAATACTACTGCTTAGTAAGAAACATATATATACATATATTTGCTATGAGTATTAACATATATACATATTGAAATATATTAGTCAATATTCATAGTACGGAGATAAATACATACAGTATATATATATATATATATATATTATATATATTATATCTAATAGTATACGTATATATATGTATGAATTATTTAATAGTATATGTATATACATATATACATATTATAGCTAATAGTATACGTACATATATATCTGAATTATTATATGTATATATATATTATATCTAATAGTATATGTATATATATATTATGTATATGTGAATTATTTAAAACTATTTGTTAGATTTGTGGCGAAGGCCGTGTCGTTGAAATTGACGAAACCTCGATGTACAATCACGGCACCCGCCATGACGAGTACTGGCTCTTTGGTGGGGTAGACCGAACCACGAAGCAGTGGTTTGGTGTCGTGACGTTCGGCGATCTGACCAAGCCGACCCTGTTAGCGCTGATCAAAAAAGGACATTCGATCTGGGATCCACATCATCTCCGACAATTTCGGATCGTACGTTTCAACCAACGAGCAGCACACATTGGCTAACATGCAGCAAACGACGCAAGACTGCGTTAAACGAAAAAGCTCTCAAGGCGTGTCCAATGTCCTCTTTGGACACTTGGCTAAACCCTGTTGCCCATCCAACGCTTCCTGACGAATCCACTTCAGCCCTTCCAGCAGCCTCTCCAACCGTCTCCATTATCCGCTCGGACCAGCATTGTTTCGATTTGGTCAACGAACGTTTGGTGGACAAGAAGACCGCCACTCCTGTGTTTGTCCAATTGGTTGTGCTTGCAAAGTTCTTTGATTGTCGTTTGGCTGGCTCAACTCGACGTGACGCTTGTGCTGCTGCGGCCACCGTACTGCCTGCCGCATTCCACCTCGGACCACGCACGGTGTTGAATTGGTATCAGTCATATAAACGCTTTGGTTGCCTTCCGAGCTCTAGACGAGGTCGGCACCAGAAGACGCCATCCCTAATTCACGACGAGGATTTCTTGAGTAAGTGTGGGCAATGGTTGCGGTTAACTCGGCCTTCAATGTGCACTCCTTACAACTTTCGATTACACCTCAATGAATCTATCCCCCCGAGCTCACAGGTAATGCGAAAGTTATTCCCAAAGTATATTCTACTTCACAATAATATTTAATTTTTAAGGTGCGATGAAATCAACTGTGTCAGAAGCCACGGCCCGGCGATGGATGGTACACGCCGGGTACAAGTTCGGCTCGTGGAAGAAGGATGTTTATGTCGACGACCATGAGCGACAAGAAGTTGTGGAATTCCGAAAGGTTTTATGCTCCACATGGGTGAGTCTTAGCGAGCGGATGGCGTCATTTTCGGGGGAGGCCATGGACATATTGGAGTCTCCCAATGACGTCTCACAGGAGCAGGTTGTGTGGGTGACTCACGACGAATCCATCTTCTACGCCAACGACGACGGGGGAATGGTTTGGACGAATACGTCCCACCCAGATCTCCCCAAAAAGGGACGTGGGCGCTCAATTATGGTGTCTGACTTTCTTTGCCCATGTCATGGCCGCCTCTTTATGCTGGGAGACTCTGAAGCATTGTTTGTCACAGAGAAGCTGCATGTTGGCAAGGCCCAGGAGGGCTACTGGACCAGTGAGCATGTGATCAAGCAGGTAACGCAAAGGGTTCTTCCTGCGTTTGCGGCTTTGTACCCCGGATGCACCGCGTTGTTCACGTTTGACCAATCAACCAACCACGCAGCTTACGCTACCGATGCTCTCCGAACGTCCAGCATGAATCTCAATCCGGCAAGCATCCTCACCAGTCTTTGCGTGGGCTCACCAAAGGAGTCAAGAGTGTGTTGACTGAACGCGGAGCATGAGATAATGCCATGCTACTGACGTGCGGTAATGTGGTGTCGATGCCACCCTTCCCTGAGCTGCTACGATGCTGTGCTCGACACTGCCTTGCATCTCATGTTGACTTTCGATCACAAAAGTCGATCCTGGAGGAGACGATTGTGGCTGCTGGTCATGTGTGCTTGTTCTTCCCCAAGTACCACTGCGAACTCAACCCCATCGAGTCGTATTGGGGTGCGGCAAAGCGACACACACGATCCAACTGCGACTACTCGTGGAATGGGCTCGTTCAATGCGTTCCGCGAAGCCTTGAAAGTGTTTCCCTGGTATCGATTCGGAAATTCTCCCGTCGGTGTTACACCTCATCCAAGCCTATAGCTACGGCCTTGACTACAACATGTCCAAGTATGCCCACAAGCAGACAAGAGCCACCGACGCATCCCACAAGGAGTAACCGTAGCGATCGAGTTGGATTAGTTGTCGAAAGGTCGTAATGTAGTCTTAAGTTTTTGCATTTTGTATGAAATTCGGACTCGTCGAAATTCACGTTCCCTTGGCCTGAAACGCTCTGTGGGCTTCAGAAACGACGATTTCATGTTTTTCAAGCGGAGTTTGGAAACTAAAATGACTTTACCCAATCACTGAGTGGACATCGATTTTGGAAGTTTCTACCGCGTAAAAATACTCGTGAATATTTATACGACGAAATTGGTCAAGTTGTAGTCTTTAGCTGACTTGCACCATATGACTTTGATCAAGCTACTTGCACAAAAGTACCGCTGTCAGTTCAAGGAATATTACCAGTGTGGGTGGTACTGCTCACATGCACTCGCAGCATCAGTGCTTCAAGGCTATTATGACATCGAGAAGGCGATCTCTCAGATCCCAGTGCGACGAAGCAGTGGACGCCCAAGAAGAGTCGACACTGCTTCGATGCTGAAAGTCCCGACGCGTTTTACTCACGAAAGCAGCTGAAAAAGCGACTTTTGGCAAAGCCGGTTTTGTGTATCAAGTGGAATGTCGTCAACAGCTTCGAGTACGCTGATGAATTCGATGGCCACAGTCTACGAGCATTTAGCTGGTAAGATCATGAGTTGATGGTCCCACGAAAACGGGACCTACATGTGACGAGTACAGTTTGACGATGGTGACTTGATTCATTACGATATCGAGGACTTGTCGACAATGATTGAAATGTCTGCCACGCTCGGTATATCGATAGCATGACGTTTATAATGAAATACGACCAATACGTTTACAAAAATACTTGATTTACAGAACCTCGGAGTATTTACTACTCATGTACTACGTAGTAGTGTTAGTACTACTAATATACTTCGGGTATTTACTACTTAGCAGAACTAGTAGTAGTTCGTAAGTATCATTGGATGCCACTGTACTCAGCATTGGCATTTTAGAAACCATATGATTTTTGCTCGGAAATTCACCAATGACTAGCACATGTACAGTACTTGTGCCTATGAAGTGCGCTCGGAACGTGTGTCTCTGGACTATTTTGCTCGAAATCGATCCGTTCTAAGGCGTGCTCGGAAATGCTCCATCGTTTGCTCGAAAAAAATGCTCACCCTTGCCGTTGAGTTTCTCAAGGTCAGTCATGCAGATACTTGCAAGTCAACTTGACCGCAGCGATGCTTTAAGCGTACGCACCAAGTCATAGGATGTACTGTATGTATTGCTGCGGGCGCTTGTCGAAGATGCGCGACATAGCGTTTTGCGGTCGCAACTCTAGGACAGACCTGCGTCCACCTCAGCGTCGAAACGAAAGTCATCGGCATTCACTACCGCATCGATGTCGGCCAGATATCGCTGTTTCAGTGAATGCTGGTGACTCTCGTTCAACCACATCGTCCGCGTGCTCCACGTTGTCCGACGACGACGAGACGTGGTTCATGATGCCGACCGGTCACTGTTCTAAATTCGACATTGGGAAACTGCACGAATGGACTTGCTTTTTCCATACAAATTGTAGTGTATTTTTTTGGGACAATTTGTTGGGATATCCCAATAGTGTGCAATTTTCGGGACAAAGTGGATGTCTCAACCCCAAATTTGGGTTTTGGGACATCCGGTGGGGACGACTTCGCCCATCTGAGTCCCAACATCGAGTTGATACAGTAATTCTTGGGGATGCGGTGGAGATGCTCAGTAAATTTACAGTTAGCGCGCCCAAGGCCTTTGAGAGTACAATTCCTTCATTAACAATAAACATTTTCACTGTTGTTTTTCTCAGAAAACACTGAATTGGAGTGTTTATAAAGAACTTTGTATACTCGGACCATTTCACCTCTTACTAGGGGATTTAGCATCGTATGTACTCACCGGGGGTTAGGACCGAGTCCCAGGTTACAGGGCTAGGGCGGAAGCGTCTATGATGATGTGATATTTCCCTCATTTAAAGAGTTTTTGCGGTCAACATAACAGTGGAACTGTTTTAATGAGGGAATTATACCCTTTGTGACCCGTATCAATTTAAATCGCACTTAAGTGGGCATATTTCTTCAATAAAGTGCGAATTAGTCATGCGGAAATGTACGGCGTCCACCACCAGCGTCACGTACGAGAGTCTGCTTCGACACAACTCACTTGACTTTCCAAGGTCAATTCCCTTCATTCATTCAATGTCAAGTAAAACCTGGTAATCGCGAAACAAACTGTGCGTGATAGAAGGTGTTGAGGGTTCGTTCATGCTTGGGAATGTCCGTTTTTTACAAACTTGACCTTCAGTACATCTTGAATCCCGTAGGTAGCATAAGCTTGTAGTTGAGCTTCTCGCACGTACGCGCAATAGGTTATGGCACCTTTTCGATGACAGACCAAGCCTTCTGGTCGCCCTTCCCGACGTGCATAGACCTGCATTGGATTTATTGACGACACTGTTCGCGGGATTTGTCGCCCAAGCAAACAGGTGCAAAAGGTGGAATTACTGTTCATTTCTACGGTCCGGAGCCTGGGTGTCGCTATGGTGCTTATCTTCTCTCACGGAGCTAGCTTGTTAGTAAGCTATATGAAAAGCTACGTATCGAAAACACCCGTTACATGATCTACGAAGACCACGTGTATGGGATCAATGATGTGATTGTATCCGGATTTAAAGGAGCAAGATTGGACCTGCGCGAATCGTCGTATGAGTGCAGCACATGTCGGCGTGAAGTGGGGGTTTGGTAAAGTCCGAAATTTGTGGACATTTGTCGACTATAGAGGTGGACAGAAGCTTTGGTTGCGCGCCGTAGGCGTGCACTACAGTGTTGCTGTCTCTTAACGAACGTGCACACCCGCATGATGCAAGGCAATCAAGTTTCCACCTACTTTGGAATGAAACCTCCAACGGCGGAGGAATACCTGCGCCCACAAGCTTAAGACAAATTAAACACGATATACTGTGCTTTGAGACAGAACAAGATTTAATATGACAGAGCCATTATATATATGCCGTAAATGCAAGAAGGCAAAGTCAATTACATCCTTTTACAGTATTAATAGTAGAACGCATCACTTCAAGAGTTCAAGAGCGCCCCTCATGAACTCCATTTGCCCTTGGCGTTTCTGTTACTCAAGAGCAAAACTTGCTTCTCGCTCGGCCTTGTCAAGGAAGTAGCGCTTCTCGTCGAGTTCAAGCTTGCGCATGGCGATTGCGCTTGTCGACTTTCTTGCACTCGTCTTCCTTGTGGCTTTCTTGTTGTTGGAGATCATTTAAATCTATGTCATAGAGCTTATGCTCTATCATTCTGTATCCGCGTACCATGTCGGAGGGATCTTGTAGCTATTATTCTCGCTGATCATATTCTCGTCCGTTCCAGATGCACGGTGAATGGTCCGTGCCAATCACAGCGTAGCTTGGCGTTGGAGGACATACCAGCCGCTCGATTGCGGAATGCATGGACTTAGTTGGCGACGGCGAAAGTCGCGAAGTTGAAACGGCCATGTTTGTTGGCTTGAGTCGCTTGACGCTGAGAGCAGTCAAGGTCGGGGGAAGATGGGGGGGTGAGGTGAAAAGACCTTGGCGTTGTACTCGAAACCGCTTGCTCTAATGTTACAGCCCACGAGGAGGTCGAGAACGAGTAGCTACGGAGAATGTCTTCGAGATCTCGGTTCGCTCGTTCCGTTTGGTCGTCGGCGAAGAGTCGCACAGGTCGAAAAGGGGCAACCAAAATTTCACGGTGAACCGGGGATCGCGGTCCAAGACGATAGAGCGGAGCAGGCCGAAGCGGCAGAAGACATGATCGAAGAAGAGGCGAGCGGCGTCCGAGCCGCTCAGCGTGTCCTTGAAAGGGATCACAATGATGTACTTTGACGCGCGGTCATGATACCGGTGTTGCCGCGTTCATCGCGCGGCGAACCGAACATAAAATCCATGCTGACCGACGACCAAAGTTCGTCGAGAACGGACAGGGGGTGGAGAGGCGCTCGAGAAGAGGTCGTGATCTTAGTGCGATGGCAAGCGTCGCAGTGAGCGACGTAGCGCACGACAGATTTGTTCATGCGCGGCCACCAGGACGAGCGCGCAAGGATCGAGTACATTTTGTCGCGGCCGAAATGGCCGCCGCTAGGGGAGTCGTGGTAGGAATGAAGGAGGGTGAGGCGCAGCTGCGCGTCTCCCGGTACAACAATGCGCGGGGGCGAGTCCGCGGTGGGTTGGAACATCAAAAGCACATTTGCGAGGGAAAATGGTGAAGGGCTGACGACGCGCGGCGGGACTTGGGGGAAACCGGTTCGGTGAGCGCCGCCAGGCGCGATAAACAGTCGGCGTCGAGGGAGTACGCGCGCGGGTCCGATCGTCGTGAGATCGGGACGCCGGGACAAGGCGTCGGCCAGGATGTTGTCCTTGCCAGTCTTGTATTCGACGAAGAACGAGATCCAGCGCGTCATACGCTGCGAAAGATGGGGTATGTTGGTCGCCATGCGTAGGGACGCGTGGTCAGTGTAAACCACGAATGGTTTAGCTCCGAGGAGGTAAATTCTGAACTTCGTGAGGGCGTACATCATGGAGAGAAGCTCCAAATCGTGAACCGGGTACGCCCGCTCAGTCGGATGGAGCTGACGGCTCTTGTAGGAAACCGGACAAGGTACACCGGTAGCATCCAGCTGCATTAAGAAGCAGCCGATGGCATACTGCGAGGTGTCGCAGACAACGGAGAAGTGCTTAGCGAAGTCCGGGAGGGCCACGATCACCAGAAGGTTGAGCTGGAGGCCTTCGAAGGCCGATTGACAAGCAGAATCCCAAATCCAAGGGTCATCCTTGAGGAGAAGCCGAAACAGCGTCTGGGCGATGGCCGCGAAGTTGTGGGAGTACTTTTGGAGGTAGGTCGCAAGGCCAGGCCAGCGACGAAGGTCCTTGGCGGAGGAGGGGATAGGCCAATCCGTGATGGCCTGTATCTTGTCGGGGTCGGCCCGACAGCCGTTCACGCCCACCAAGTCGCCCAGGACTGGGCTTTCGTCGACGCCAAACATGCATTTGGCGAGATTGGTGTAGAGGACTTTGGCACAGAGGACTTCAAACACCTGGTGGAGGTGGCCACGGTGAACGTAACGGTCCGACTGCGCGGCCGAAGCGCAGCTGTGGACGCAGATGCCGTCAAAGTAGGACGGGGCGAAGTCGCCAATTGCTCGGAATAACGCGACCCATCCCTTCATCGACAGTGATCATCGCAATCGCGGCGATATCAGGGGCGCGGAGAGATTCCACAAGCGAGTGGAAGCTCAACTCCGGCAGGGTTAGAATCTGGGAGGACGTCCGACTTAATTCGTTCAACTTTCACGCTTCTTCGATAAACGTGGATGCAAGGATCGATGCAGCGATCGGGAGCGTTGAAGGGGCCAGGCCGATGACAACACAGAGCGACTCTGTTGGGGGAACGGAAGGGGGGATGCAGACCAGGGCCAGCAAGCGCACTACGGGGGTAGAAAGAGCGAGATCATTACTCATCGCCGCAAACGTAGGACCAAGCGGGTTGGTGGTGGACGGGGGAAGGTGATCAGCGGCCCGCCGATGAATCCAGGACTGGCTCATGTTGAGCTAAGTGACCTCGTGTACGGAAATAGCCTTCCAATAGGTCCAAGGCTGGTGGGACTCCAGCCATGACATTCCGATGATGATATCCCATCTCTCATCGAGATCGATAATGCAGAACGGTTCGACCGAGTCGAACCCGTCGAAGTTGATGGGGACGTCGACGATGATGCGTGGTTGAGACGCAGTGTGGCTGTCGGTCATCTTGATGCGAACCCGGTCGGAGGGGTCCGAAGGGGGTAAGCGGTTGAGGCGAGTTAAGTGGAGCGGCTGGCGTAGTTGTTCGACGCTACTTCTTGGGACATCCATATCCGAAGAATCCGTGCACGCATGCGCGAAAGACGAGGAAAACGACTATGAAAGCGCGATGCGGACGGCTTCTTCGAATGTCCGCTGGTAGGTGCGGAACAGCTGTGTGCGCGCGGGGCCTTGATTGAGACCGTCCATCAATACGGTTACGTGCAAGGGGGGAAAGATTCCTCATCGATAACATTCGCTGTCAAGAAGCGAAGAACATGTATGAATTTCTGGAGAGAATGTTTCCCTTGCTTACACGCCAAATACTGCGAGCCATAGCCAAAATCGCTGTTGAGCGGCAAGAACATCGCATTGAGTTCGGCCTCGAAGGATCCGTCAAGCGTTTGGAGAACACCCAATCTTCCGCGCGTCCCTTCAGGTGCGACATTGCAAACGCCACGCGTATGGTTTGGTACGAGATACGCTGGGCATCTGCGGCGGTTCTGACTTGCAAAAGCCAGCGGAGGAGTTTGTCTGACTCCACGCAACCGAATTTGACGACTTCCAACTGCTTCAGACGAGAAGCCGATGAGTGGTCCGATGACACCAAAGCGTACGTGAGGCGCGCATTCTCATCTCAAACCCCGAAACCTTAATGAGCTATCACCCATATTCGTCAGGTACCTGCATCCCGCGGGGAACCTACTGTAACCCCGAAACTCCGAGCTATGCCGGGCATATACATATTTTGAGCGTCCTATGGTACCATCTACACCACTCGTTCGCTCGAAATAACTAAAATAATATGAATCGATCGAGCTATGTCGACATATACTTATTTGGAGCGGACCTATGGTACCATACCACAGGTCCGCTTGAAATAACTCCATTCATATTAATCCATAGAACTATATCGACATATTGAGTCGGAGAGAATCCTGGAGGGTGCGGCTATGGGTCGACATGGCGGAAGCCTGATCCTTCAAGGTCGCCATGGTCTCACGGGCGACGCAGAGGAGTCTTCCAGGTTTCGCCCATAGAAGACATTTGGGCCACTTGTTCTTCCAGCGTCGCGTGGGTAGCGGTGGATGCTTCAGCGCCTGAGGGTTCGATCGTGCTACCGACGCTTTCCACAAGGTGCGCTTGATCTTCGGGGGGCATCCCGCCGAGGAGTAGCGCGGTATCGCTGTCGCCAAAGCCGCGACGCAGAACAGCGACGACCACCTCCTGCGTTGCCGTGTTGGAATATTCAAAGTGACGGATAATTGCATATCCACAACCGGAAAGATCACACGAGAAGATTGGAGGGGCATAGCTAAGATCACTTCCTAATGCATCAAGTTTGGAATCAAGTAAGGTAATGCATCAATTGTTGACACGGCACCAAATTATGAGACTGTCTGACTTTTGGCCAATATCATCTCGTTATTTTGTGTTGGCCTTGTATGATTGGATATGATAATATTCGTCTCTATATTTTATTACACCTCTCAATGCTGAAGTAACGTAGATGGCCAGTTCATGGTGCACGGGACAGTTTAAGGTGCACTCAAATTGGCCAATGGAATTGCTTGATTTTTGGAGTAGCCAATCGAATCACTAGAAAAATGAAATCACTAAAAAATAAGCAAAAACAGCATACATATTTTAAGCTTAAACCGTGCACCATAAACCGTCCCTCCTATTTTGCCTTGACTTGAGGGGAATCGAAGTAAATAAACGCTAAGCTGAAGTCTATTCAAGCCGATTAAATAATCAGAAGAATGCCCAACCTTTCGGCTTCATGCAGCACTTTTCAGAATTGAAATCCCGGTCCTGGGAGACGAATAAGCTGCATTCTACAACGAAGTCTCTTTCAAGTGCACCATAAACTGGCCATAACGTAGATGGCCAGTTTTTTTCAATCTCAAACAAAAATACAAGTATTTAAATAGAATGTCAACTAGAAAAACTTGACGCTGTCCCGCCATACATGCCTACGAGAGCATCACGGCAGTTGTGCATAGCTACGTGATACATCGAAATACTCACTTTCGAGTCATCGCTACCATAGACAACGAAGCAGCAGCGTATTGCTCGTGGCAACGAATGGATGGCCTCCACTATGCCGCTACTGTTCTGATCCACATCAGTGTTTTAAAATGTGAGTGCATTTTTTAAATCTGACTAATTAGATTCATGTAAATTTTTATTACGTATTGCAAAATGCATGCAATTATATTTTTGATCAAATTATTTTGCATATTAATTTAATCAAATACAAACATCAAGGTTTTTTAGGGGTAAGGTAATGCATCAATTATTGACACTGTTTTCTGTGAAGTTTTGGCCATGAATTCAAATCCCAGTAGCTCGAGAACGAGAACGATTTATTTTAATGCTGACATCACCACAAGAGAATATAAAACGCCACCATTTTTTTTACGTATGGTGCATTTCATCTAAAGACTACAGATCGGCCATCCTCAGGAGGAGACGTTTTACTATTAAACGCCTCGGTTATTTCAGTTAAAGCCACGTAATGTTGACGTTAAATTATTTGTACTTACATTTTTTATCTGGTAAATAGGTTAAACATCCTGAATAATCCGGATACAATGGAAACGTTCATACGGATAAGTGCTGTATACAAAGACCAAGATATACTTGATGCTCCTTTTCGGCCAAAATGTGCCTGGCTCCATATATTTCCATACCATAAGGCTGGTTGGTTTAAATTCTATTACTTGATCAATTTTTCACAAATCGAAATTTTGAACCGTAACTTCTGTTGGTCTTGACCAGTTCTATCGTTATTACGGCTTATTTTCCTAAAAAATATCAATACAACGTTGGAATCGCTGTCGAAAGACAAGGCATCGAGCCACAGTGTCCGCAACAACTTCTTGAACGGCCCCATAACCCCTACATCCAAGGGCTGACACACACTTGTGCAGTTGGCAGGGAGTGGCTCGAGCACGTTGTGCAGATCACCAGCGATGACATTGGCGGATTCTTGCGTAACGTGGGCGTCGAAGTTATCGGCGACTATGACCGTGGGGCCTTCAATGTACGGCGGCAAAATCTCGAGGTACGCTTTCCACACGCGGCTGTCCATCCATGCTGATTCTTGGACACTGTAGTAGTGCTCTTCGGGATAGGTGTCCATCTCCACTTCGTCGATTGTACCACTGGGGACGCCATGGACGATGAACAAAATGGGTAGTTTAGACCCTACACACAACATCGTCAATAGCCATTCATGCAACACGACATACCATCAGTTCGGCATGTCAACACCGTAGTGATACGGTCGGAATGCTTCTGCTTCTTGTCGACCTTGGACGACCTGCCGATTTCTGCCCAGATCTTGCCAGGGGGCACGTCGTAGTATACGGCGGTCTCGTCGACGTTCATGATTTCGCTGGCAGCGTACGCATGATCCTTGGTCCAAAACTTGCACGCAAAATCCTGGCGGATCTCCAGCATATCGGGGGTGGGCATCTTCGTGAAGCACGCAACTCGCTGGGAAAAGCGATGTCGTTTGGCAAACGCTTCAAGAGGGACTGTACGCGTCGCGCTTGCCTGTTCGGTACGACGCCAACCATTCCCCGTGGTTGCGCTTCATGAAGGTTACCATATGCATCGACGTAAGAATGTGATCCTCACGCCGAACATCCTTCATGAAGGCAAGGAGCTCGTACTTGAACGGGAAGATGGCCTTGGCGCCTTGTCCACCCAACGTTGGGCGCTTGGCGTCGCGTCGAGTCGTCGCAAGTTCTGTGCGGCGCTTTTGCCAGTCGATCCACGTTCTTCGAGGTATTCCATCCTCAGCACAGAACTTGCGATGGCTTCGAACATAGCCAGGAGCTTTCGCTCTTCGTCGATGGAGTATGACTTCTTGCGGTGTCGCGTCGGCATGATGTCAAGTGAAGCGTTTCAAATTTTGAATTCGAATAGGCCAATCATAAACTTGCATTAATACTGCTTTGTGATTGGCTTCGTGATGGATAAATTCAATTTCAAAGGTGCGTCGACGATGAATAAAATTACATCAATTTAGACAGGTGGTCGGATATTTGGGGGGTCGGACTTTTCCGGGGTTCTCTGTACCAAGAGTGGTGCGTGAAGACCCGGGCCAAGATCAACCAACAGCGCCTCAGCAAGTACCTCAAGAGATGCCCGGGACACTCGTCGAGGGCCACACCGAGGAGGACGACCTCGTCGGGGTTCCTACATCCTGCAGATCATTCACCCTGACCACTTGAAATACGTCCAAGCGGCCACCAGGACGCACGCCAAGTGGGAAGCTTTTCGAGTGATCTACGAAAGCGCATCAGAGGTCAACTTGGTGACACTCCAGCTCCAAATGAGCAAGCTGGAGTGGAGCGAACGATCGTGACTAGAAACGTTCACCGATAAGTCCCAAGAGTTCACGAGAAAACTCACCGCCGCTGAGGACTCGACGCCCGACAGCGCACACATAAACCGGTTCCTGTGCCTTCGCACCCCACGCTTTGCCAACAGTGTGATGTACATCACCCGAGAGCGACGTAACAGAAACGCGTACAAAACACCACCCTCGATCCTAGCCGAACTCAAGTTAGACGATGAGAGACGAAACCTGGCTCGCAAAGCAAGTCCGCTTTGATGTCAACAGGCGACTGCCACTACTGCGGCAAGGCTAAGCACTTTGCCGCCGCAAACAAGGCGATGAGTCGCGGGGAACTTTCGGATGGTGGGGGGACACGATGTTGCGGGGACATGATGTTGCGGGGACACGATGTTGCGAGGACATGAAGTGAGGACATGGTGGTGCGAGGGCAGGATGAAGCGACGGCAATGGCATATCACTACATGGAGTTACATTAGCTACTGTCATTGACAGGTCACTTTGAGATATGACAGGTCATTTAGGGTCACTTTGAATTCCGGATAAACGTTTATTCGGTGCTAGTATGTCTATTGATAGTATCATCTACTAAGCATTGTCTAGTAGTACTACCATACTGGGAGATGATTGAGTTCGTGTTTGTAACGTGGTAACTCTTTGGTTTATTCAGCCACGGCTTTGTGTTCGTCAGCCTTTTATTGGTTTTTTCCCTCGTTGTCGAAAAGCACAACTTGTGCAAAGCTTGAAGCACAATTTCTGCCAACGTGGCCGACCATAAATGTGCCGATTGTTCATTGATCGGCCAACATGTTTCTACCAATAGCCTTGCCTTTCATATCTAATTGGACAAAACAAAGCTCTTATCAAATTGAACTTGTGAAATATGATGGAGGGAAAAAGTATAGTGTTTGAAAGGTTGACGATTTTGAATTGAATGCCGCTACGAGCGCTGTACACGCACAACACCATGAGTGTTGCCGTCCAAGAAATGCTAGCCAAAACGCATAAAATTCATGCTGTGTTTGATCCTTGGTCTCCGTGTTAGACGTGCGGTTCCGAAGGAAGGCGGTGGTGTTTATCGCTTCGGCCCGCCAGTGTTTGGAGAGTCCCGAGGGGTTCATCATCGTGTGGGTCATCTCGATGATTATACGGTTTATGCGTTCCGCATGTGGGGGGGTGCTTGTTTGGTGATGGACCCCGCGTTCATGAAGGTAGGCTTCTACTTCGTTGTTAATGAATTCACCTCCGTTGTCTGATTGTAGCGTTTTCAGCTTGGCGCCAGTCTAGCGTTCAAACCAAGGTATGAACTCCTTGATGGCGTTAAATGTGTCGCTCTTGTTGCGTAGGAACCGTACGACATCCTAGTTGGTCGCGCCCTCAGAGAAGGCGATGCAGTAGTCGGACCCGTTCGGCGACTTGGTCTTGGCTGGTCCCCACAAGTCGGTGTGGAGACTGTCCCAATCTTGTGGAGGGGTCGATCTCCTTTCTTTGGTACGTTGTTGAATTCCATCTTTCCACTCACGCCGTCCTTGCATGTGATTGTTTTGGGGCTTGCTTTGGTTCGCCTGTTGTGGCTTTACCGACAGCGGTCATCGTGTCTGCGGGGATGTGCCCCATCCTCGCGAGCCACAAGCCAGCGCCGAGCTTTACGGCAGTGTTGACTTCGACCGGGCAGGATGAGTTCACCACGCATCGAGTAGATTTACGCATCGTTCCATTTTGCCACGATGGATAAGTGATCCTTCACGTTGACTGCGCAATAGTCATGCTTGAAGTTTAGCACCGCTTCGTCGGAGTGCCGCGTGATGCGGCTGATCGACAGCAGTGTCTTGCGAAGTGTCGGGACGTAGAGGAGGTTTGGAAGGTAACCGTCCTCTTCGTATTCTTTGAAATCATTCCCATTCTCCCATCTTGTTGACAGGAATGGCGTGGTCGTCAGCGAGCCGCACTCCGCGCTTGCATGGTACGATGCAGTGGAGAAGAGCTAGGTCCCCGGTCATGTGCGCAGTGGCGCCGTTGTCCATGATTACTTCTTGGTGTGTAGGTACGGGGGGGGGCGTTGTTGCACTGATCGAGGTCTGTTATTTCCGCATAGTGCACCAGCTCGTGGCTCACCATTTCCCATTCGTCTTCTTCGTGGAGGCTGGCGAAGTCGTCGTCGTCGTCCGTGCTGGGTTCGTTCACGGCGCGGTATATGCCCGCATGCTCAATCAACTCGACTGTAAACACGTCTTCGTTGTAGTCTTTCTCATCTTCATTTGCGTAGTTTCCTTGTTCATGCCAGTTCAGGCGACCGCCGCGTCCTCCACGGCCACCATTTCCGCGACCGCGACCGAGGTCGCCTCTGCCCCCACGCCCAGCTTGGTTGCCGGTGGTTGCTCGGCCACGTGTCGACCGGCGAGCCCAAGCCGTACTCGTCTCGATTTTCTAGCTTCATAGATGTTTCGTCTTGAAACGTCTCTGATGTCACGTCGTCGTCCTCGTTGTTGGTGTCACGGTTGATGTCAGGACGGTTCGTTGAACTTGGGTGGAGAAGAGGCTGATTTGCATTGTCAATGTCAACAGCTGCGTGGTATGGTGTGCCGTTTGTAGGGTTCGATGGAGCGCCGTCACCGGACGGCATAAGATGACCGCGTTCTGGTTCGAAAGAGCACCGGCACCGGACGGCACAGTATGTATGGCTGGCGTCGGCTGATGCCAACCTCAATCGATTGTTGAACTTCTCAGGAAAGTGTCGTTCCACGAAGCGGGTGCACCATTTTCGGAAATTGTCACCACATTTGAATTCGTATTGAGACTTGTCGAGCCCATCGGACCAAATATCGCGAGCTTGGACCCTTACGCTTGCCATATCCAACTGGTTGGGCGCTGATACGATCCAGGCCAACAAAGTCTGCGACTATTGGTCCAACTTGCGCACTTGCTTGTCGCCGCCATATCATTCGTTTCTCTTCATGTTGTGCTTCATGGTCTTGGTCGCGTCCACAGCATTGATCTTCTGGGCATTGCCAAGCCATTTTTGGATTGTCGACAACGGGATGTCATGGCGCCGGCTGAATTCTACTTAACAGATATCGGTGGAGGCGGCCCATGCCTCCAGGATTGACTGCTTGTCGGCATACGATCGGTGCACGCGGACAAGGGAAGTTTCCATGTGGGCTTGGATGCAAATTGAACAAAATGAGTCCCTGCACCCAGTGATTGGTAATGTAGCAGGGAATATGGGGAAACATCGAGGGCATTGTTGCCATACCTATGGGATTCAGTGATCAAGCGACCCCCCCCTATGGTGATATGTGAGTTCATTGCCCTCCCTAGAGCCCCTAGGGAAACATGGGTAAAGTAAGGCAAATTAACGTGACTGACCAGTGATGTGCCGATTATATTCTTTTTCTTTCGTGAATTCCTTGTGATGACACGATGTTGCGGGGACACAATGGTGCGCGGACATGATGTTGCGAGGACAACAAACACATCGATACATGTTGCGAACCAGCCGCTCACCTCGCATTGCCAAATTTCCTCGAGGCGGCAAGTACCAACGAGGGGTCTACGACGAGTACTGCACACGATGCAATACCATGTCCCCTTATGTTTCGCAATGACTATGTCATGACCTATTCTGAATGCGCGTCGGGACGCTGCACCGCTAGTTTAAACAGCCGCAACAACGCTATACAACAACGTCGTCGGTACCCAAAACGACAGTTGTAGAGTGGTCAATACGCGTTGAGTCTTGAAGAAGACGTTGTTCCTGGCATGAAAATCATTGAATACGTGGGGGAGCGTTTTGGCAAAGCCGAGTTCACGCGGTGCAAAACTCATGACATGGGTGGGTACCTTGTCATCGTATCACGAGAACAAGGGGGATTGTACATTGATGCAATGTATGCGGGGAACGACGGGGAACGAGTCGCCATTCATCAATCATTCGTATTATCCAATTGTGTCTTTGAACCCTGGTTGGTGGATGGTGAAGCCAGGTTGGTTGTTGTTGCCTCTTCACACATTCGAAAGCTTACAGTTCTTTTCATTTCTTACATGGGACCAGAGTGGAACATCCAATGCTTGTGTAATTATTGTGATGGAAGTTACAACAGCGAAGGTTATGGCTTACTGAAATCAATACGACATTAATCACCCATTTTGATTTGTATCTGAACTGCAATGCGAACACAATTTATACTTGTTGATGTCCTGCACAATCTAAGTTGTCCTGCTCAATTTTGTTGAGTATCGGTCCTGGCTGGTTAACGCTGATTAGAATTTGGCCTGCCAACTTTGGAAATGTCCTGCTGAAGATGAAATTGTCCTATGTGGCAACTCGAGCCTACTACCGTATTCCGGCGGGACTTGTACCCCCGATTTTTACCATCGGAGTTGTACCCATTTCTCTCTTCAAGTTCTGTTTGGAAGATTCTGGGCTTTGCTCATGGAGTTGTACCTATACATCGGCTATTGGTTGAAAATCATCCAATTGACTGTATACAATCATGTTTCACTTCTCGGCGATGGATGGATCTGAAGGCTGTCGATATTGTTGTTGTCTCGAGTGCTGAGGGCACGCGCTCGTGTACCTGCTTTGAAAGCATTTGACTTTCCGCACGGGGTTGTACCTATTTGGATCAGATTTTGGCTACATTTTTGGGGTACGTTTGGGGAAGTCGAATGGATTCCCTGTCAATTCTTGTCCGATTTACACGAAATTTTGGGATATGGCCTGTCTGGAGAGGAAAAGTCCTGATAACAATTTTGACAGAACATAGAGAATATTTGGCTTTGTTATAAGGGATCGAAAACCTCCTTTTTTCTATCTGTTCATGATTACGTTTACGGTAATTTTATTCACTTGTGCACCACTTTTATTTAAATTACCTACTAGACCCTAATAGTCATGGTGGTTTCTACCTCTAATATTCAATAACTGCTTTAATATACGTTTACAAAAGTTATTATAATTCACAGAAAGTCAAGTGTACAGATACTAGGTTTAAAACCAAGCAAAATTATAATATAAAAGGGGTACCAATTGACAGGACAATACAAATAGCAAATGCATTTGACACCCTTTCAATACATAAACGACTTGAAATCGTCAAATCCTTTCAAGGTCTCACTATTCAATTTTCACATGAATGCATCAGTGGAATCCGTCGGTACGAATTGGCATACAATACGGTTTTCAGGTTTTATGGAGCTTTTGTCAAATGGCCCACTGCAGTAGTCATTGGACCGCCTCGGCCTCGCCCATGGATTTGCTGCTTTGGATACCGGCGAATGTCTTCTCGACCTTTGGTATTCCGTCGTCCCTGAACTCATGGTGCTGATTGAGCTCTGATTCATTCATGTGCAAATTTAGAAGTCTATATGAAAAATATGTTATCTGGTGCCACCTGACTAACGATTGCTCTAGCTACCAGCAAGTTGGTTTGTTCAAGCGCATCGTCATGCACCCAGCGCAATGCAAGGCCTAGTGATTTAGTACGTGTGCCACCCCAACCACCATTCCGTACCGTGTTTCGTAACCCGCTTCGGCTTCCAAGTCCCTGCACAACTGTACCACTGGCGTTGATCACAGCCAGCAAATGGTTTGAAAAACACTTGGTTACATCTTGAATGATGCGTTCGCTTGTAGGACAACCCTGGTGAGGACCAAGTGTTGGGTCCATGATGCGCAGGTATGCGCTGTCAAGGCGGTTGGGAGTTGAAGAGCAGAACTTTCGGGGGTCATCTTTGTCCAACTGCTGGGTCATCACGCGGTGGCGTTGAAAGCAGTCGTCGACGTCTTTATTGAGCGACGCGTCCCATGGCATGAACTTTGCTTGGTTCATGTACTTCATGTTCAGGAAGGACTTGGTTGAGGCCAACTCGCCATTCGGATCGACCTTGCCGTTGGCATCGCGGCGAAATCGAACTTGACGCTTCGATCAATTCACCCCGTAGCCACCGAACTTGACTTCTTTGTGCCTTTCGTCCCATGAAACAATTTGCCTCGGCTCCAAAGCAGTGACACAAGTTGCGTCGAGATATGGCGTGCAGTCAACAACGCTATCTGCATCCCACGACCATATCCCAAAGCGAGTTGCCAAATGATGTGCCCAACCAAGGCGAGCTTTCGGCCAAGCTGACGATGCGTCTACAGTCCCTTGCTTGAGAGCACCAATCGATGTCACAACTGGATTCATACGGAGGTATGCAATGTACACGGCAGACGTTCCGACATGCATTCGATTGAGCGACAAGCGTAGCTGGTTGACCATGTGGGTTGACTCGCGCAGCCCCCATCCCCATTCCATGCAATCTGCAATCAAATAGCTTTCGATGGAGCTAAGTTCGATCAGCTTATTGTGGCCACCAGTTTGCTAGGGCTTTTCAGCATACGCGACACCAGCCACAGCACACTCAGCAACGTCCTGCAGTACTGACAGGACAGATCCGTACGACCCGCTCGGCACACTGAACGTCTTCATGATGCTCCAAATCGCACCTCTGTACGTGGTCCATTCATCGCTTGGAGGTGCATTCAAGGTCTCGATGAAGTAAACAGCCCATGCTTGCCGTTTGGTCTCTGTGTCGACGATGTACTCTGGGCTTGCAGTGTGTTGCTGTGACGCCTTGTTTGGGCTTGTCTTTGCTAATTTGCATAGTCGTGGTGTTGGTGCTCTGATAACCTCCAAAGGCTTGGCGGTGCTCTTCGACTTGCATGTTGGTTGCCACGCATACTTCTTGGTTTTGTTCATACCACGTCCTCGTCGTTTTCGCGGCGACATGACAAATTTGAATGATTTCAAAATTTAGTAGGTGTTTAATAGGTGTAGTGCGGTGAGTTTAAAAATTAATCTTCAACTCACTATTGAGAATCTAGTAACCCAAGCCGTGTTCTATTAACTTGCCGCCATCTGTCGTATATTTTTAATTCGAACTTGTATATTATTTCAAAGGCAGTGGTCGACCTGGATATGGATGCTTTTTAATGCGCCTTAGCCCATAACTATTGCAGTTCAACGCCTATTCCAAAGCCACACCCCTCACCCTACGCACGCTATCATTCCCCATAGGGTGATCTATTTTGTTTTGTAATTGCAGCTCTACAAAAATAGTTATGGGAAAAGGCCCGCCAATCCTTTGATCTTGCCCAAACGTACAGTACTCTACAAGTACCGACGGAATACGCTAGTCCATGGTGCGATTGAGAAAGGGCATAAATTGCACCATGGTTAATTGAGTTTCGATTGTCTTAAAATTGATAATCCAAACTCAATTGACCTTCGTGCAATTTATGCCCTTTCTCAAGTGCATCGTCGTCCGACCGTTCGATTCCGACAAGACCTACCTCCAGTAGCACCCACCTGGTGTCGGCAGAGTTGGTGGCTTTTCCGTTTTCTACTGTCCTCTATCCGTCTAGTATCTCCAAACCATTGATACAGTGGTACATACTAGCACTAAATAACGATACCAGACGTCCTTTTGGGGTTTTCAGCCGATTTCTCGGGGTCTTCAGACATTTATTGGGTTCTTTTACACTTCTCGTGCTTTCCTGCCTACCGTAGTACAGTACATGTAGTACAGTACTGAAGTGCAATGAAGAATTATGCCTACCGTAGTACAGTACATGTAGTACAGTACTGAAGTGCAATGAAGAATTAGAGAGCCGGTTCTGCCTACAAAGAATTACCTACACTGAACGTTCATGTCCATACTTGTCTATGCTCCTTGGCCAATCAGAACTCCTGATTGGCAAAACTCGACATTTCCAAGTTTTTTGTGTACTTTCTGCCCTTTCTCAAATTCTACTGTAGTGCAGCCGGTGACATTCCTGTTGTACAGTACTACTTCGAAGTACTACGCCCCTCACTGCCAGTTCAACTGAGATGGGGCGACCGAAACATCGAGCTCGCTCGGCGAACTGACAGTGAGCTCAACGCGGCTATACAGTACAACTCCAGGAAAGTCATTTCTGTCTTTCGAAGTTGATTGCGATCCCACTACACCACGCCATACCCATTCACGAACCAGTAGTGTGGTACTCTTCCACACCTCACAATTTCGAAAGAGGTATGTACGCCTTCGGGTTTGGGCTTGGAAGCGAGCAAGCATGCTACCGGTAGACAACTGGAGTATGAATTGACTTGGTGGATTTTACGTTCAAGTTCGTATCCGCCCTGAGCCCCAGCTGGCAATAAGTTGAAGTGGGACTCTGGCCCTCGCGGATCTCCAGCGTCGTTCAGCGACTTGTTCGAGTCGACCACTTCCACCCTCATTACATTATCAAACATATGGTGTGTACCTTTGGGATTGTATACGGTAACGAATATTAATGTTAACGTTACTCGAAAAATGCATTCTGCATGTGTGGGATCATTCTTGCTTTGTCCCGAGGAGGCGCACTCTTGTTTTGTCCCGCGGGGGCGCACCCACTTTCGCCAACACGATTTAGTTCTCATTGGTCATGCTGCTTCATCCAACGCCCCACTCTACATTTGCATCATCCGACAGGGTCCCAACATTGGACGACGCAGTATCGTACTGTGCAGCCACCACTTGCTACCGCTTTGCCAAAGACAGCGGCCTGTGTCTCCTCCACGCAGCTACCACACAGCAGCATGCCACCTCGCTGCGTCAATACCACGATTCCCCTGCTACCACGACGCTCCAGACGCCTCCGCTAACATCCGTCACCACTCCCCGTCATTACCATGACCTCACAAGCTACCTTCCCTCCAAATCCTCCAGTGGCCGATCGTCCCCACACTCGGACGCTGTTCGCGTCAGCTGTAAACTGTGCCAGGTCGACCAATGCACCAAGCGCGCCAAGTCCAGGGGTCTTTGCATATCGCATGGCGGAGGGAAACGATGCGTCATTGATGGGTGTGTGAAGAGCGCTAAGGGGGGCGGGTTATGCATCTCGCACGGAGGGGGTAAGCGCTGCCTCAGGGAAAGATGCAACAAGTCGGCATTGCTGGGTGGCTTCTGCGCGCACCACGGCGGCGGCCGCCGCTGTGGACACGACGGCTGTACCAAGTACGCCCTCTCGGGTGGGTTCTGCATTGCGCACGGCGGAGGCAAGCGCTGCAACTTTCACGCATGCCCCAATAGTGCCGTGAGTCGCGGGTACTGCGTGGCTCACGGTGGCGGCCCCCGATGTGCCACCGCAGGGTGCATGAAGGGTGCGGTCACGGGCGGACTGTGCATCAAACATAACGGCGGCAAGAAGTGTCAGCAGACCGCGTGCAGAAAGAAAGCTCGCACCAAGGGATATTGCTTTACCCACTTTAAATAAATTCTATTTCTGACCTACCATACAATTTTTTAATTGAAACGGATATATATTGTGCTTTCCGAGTGAAATTTCGTGTTGTGGTGTGGTTTCTCGTTGGAATTTAAATCGATTTGATTAGCTACTTCAGAAGTGCTCAAAATTATTAGCCAATCAAAACCTTCTCAATGAAATTTAACCAATCAAATCGGTTGTGGATCGGTTTGGCCGGCGCGATTCGATTGCACTCCCTCCCCAGATTTGTATCAAATCGACAATATTATTAACTAAAGTATACTACCGGTACCTCCGTCCCAGTTTAACCATTCCAATGGAGATTCTTGAAGTTCCATGCGTAATAATCACTCCGAAAAGTACAGCTGTTGTTTTTCCGAGACGATTGGCCAATCAAAATGAGCAAATCAAATCCAATTGACCAATCAAATAGGTCATAGTCATTTTCTTCAGCATTCATTCAGAGATAGTACTAGTACATGCGGGTAAGATGCCTTATGCCAGACAGAGCTGTGCATGCGCAGACCATGCTGCATAGGCTGAGCTAGTAATGGGCTATCTTGTAATATCAGTAGGATGGATTGTGCTAAGTATGACACAGCTCGAGAAAAACCTCATAAAAGTTCGTCCATTCTCGATATATGCGCATGTCGACATGCTGTCTGAGTACCACAAAAACATGCACATGCGCAATAAAAATATTGCATCCGCAAAAGTGATGAAATATCTGGAACTGTTGTGTTTTCCTCAATGTGAAATGGCGCGAATTTTTTGAATGCAAGGCATCGCACATGCAGATATAAAACGTGTCAGTACAGCAGTCAATGTCCCTCTCCAACAAGTTGGATGACTGCGAGGAAACTCCAGTTTCGCTTTCGCCAATCATGAATGCCTCGATTGTGTTATGATGAGTTATCGCCAGCTCCCGCATCTCCCTGTGTACTATTCATAGTACCATAGTCATAATAATACTAGTACTACGATAGTATCTTTGACATCAATGTTGACTGTAAGCATCCATGTCGTCACCGAACCTTGCCCGCTTGAAAGATAGTACAGCTATCGTCGGACGACTCCAACGTGCCTCATGGAGTATTGTAAGAAATGCCATACTAGTGGTCGTCAAGCTGCTCAAAGGTAAACATCCAACCACGTGATATTAACGATACTCCTGAAGTAGAATTTGTTTAATTGCGTGTACTTCACAGGTGAATTGGAGAAATGTAGATAGGCCACTGTCAGCAACTTGACCCGCAAATAGTTAATAGTTGCTTATTAATAGTAACGGAGATATACTTACGGGTTGTGTGTTTATGGCCCACACAAGAATTTCCATAAAGTCTTGATTCGCAAACGAGCCCAGCAGCTTGACTGTCAGCAGATCACGTTAACTCTTCCATAACGATCGCTCCTCCCAACTAGGTACTAGTACAACGCAGCACAACTTGCGTACTGCTACATACATAATGCTATCAATGGCATTACCACTAGGACGCCTCACATTCACCTTTTGTATGTGGCCTGTACGATAGAGGAGGATTGGTCAACTGGAGCCCGGCAATTTGTGATTATCTTGACAGTGAGATCTCATTGAATATGAAAATCGTAGGACCAGCTCCCTACGATTTCGTCAATTCACAAATCGATTAACGTTACAAAATTTTATGTTTGCTATAAGGCGAGAGTACTCATTCTCGTAGTGTAATCTCATGTCCAGATTGACCAGTTCTTCAGGCTCAGTTGGGAGCGCGTCTACTTATAGATCACTTTACACCTGATCTACAGACAACGAGGGAATTTAAGGCTCATCGAAGTTTTGAGTGTCACACACTTTTTTCAGCCAATCAGCAGCAAATCACGAAATACTTATATTTCTATTGGTGAATTTTTATAATATGTTTTGAATTTCGAACTACGCTATCCAGTCATATCGTGAAATTTGCGCTACACACAGAACTTCGATGAGCCTTAAATTCCCTCGTTGTCTGTAAGTAGGACAAGAACACACCGATAGTCGCTGGTTCAGTCCCAGGTTTCCTCAGGTCCTTGGCATCGACACCAGGAAGCCTAGATAGGGTCGAGTCAGAACCCTACCCTTTCACTCTATACATTCGTATACCCCAACAATCAACTCCCTCCGGCAACGCCACTACCGACGCACTTGGTGGATCCAGCGTTTCCTCCCCCCACCTAACACAGAAACGGCCCGACACCAACTGGATAACATCCTCCGGCGATAATCCCTTTAGGGCGAAGCTTACATTGGCGACCCATGCACGCCACCTTCATCAAACCGCCTAATAGAGGAGAGCCTGCGTATTGAATTGACCAACATCAATAAACACACGAGTAGTCAACTGGGATATGAATTGGCTACATATTTCCACGCTAGCGCGCTGGCCTTCCTCATCATTGCGGACTCCCACCTTCCGGCACACAAGGCCACACAACTCTGACCTCCAGACTCATTCTCACTCCACATCTCATAGCCATTAGGAGCCACAGAGTCTGCATTCTATATGACATCCAATGTTGGCACTGGGGAAACTAGCCAAACTCGGAAGGCCCTCGACATGGGAGTGGGGATACGACGAACCAACTGGTGCACCACACAGCTCCGCCTCCATGAAGCCGAACCCCCAACGGGGGAAGAATATCTCCGACTTGTCCTCTTTGTGGAATGGCCCAAGTGGATCCGCAATCCCAACATTCTTCTGTCCAGGCTGGCACCGCTCTGGCGCCATTGCGATCGGTGATAGGTGGACCGACATGCCCACTGCACAGGACATCACCCACGACTGGGACCGCTGGCTATGACAGGACATTGCACGCTGGACAAACTTATGCTGCAAACGGCGAGACTGGCGTAACACCTGCATCCGGCAAACCCGCGTGCAACAGTGAACCGCTTGGTTTCAAGGCCGCCAAACTCGGAAATTCCTCCGATCAGCACTCGGCGCACCCACACCACCTATTTCCATTCTGAATGTCATAGTCCATCCTGCAGATGGCCCCCCACTACAGCACCGACCCAGAAGAGGTTGCAGCAGACTCCGAATCTGCTGGACATCTGGATCCCCCCTGCTGAAAAAACCACCCACCCTAGGCATTTAGATACAGGCCTGGACTCCGACCACCTGCAAGGTCCACACTTAGTCGGTGACTGGCTCTCCCATGATATGGATCACCCCGACGTAGTCGCGCAGGCCTTCCAAACTCCCGCGTGCACCACATGGGACAATTATCACTACGATGAAGCCATGCAAGCACGCTGCGAACGCAGTCTACGTACGCGAGTGTCCCCAGGTCATGAGGGTGTCTCACAGAAACTCTGGATTGCTGCCCCGACGTGCATCCGAGAAAGGGAACGAACCATCATCAACCTGATCCTACGCACGGGCCTTGTCCCCCCGATCCTCGGACGCAAACGGATGATATACCTCGCCAAATCGGCCACCGCCCACGGTGTGGTAAATCTCGACCCTGGCCTTCCTCTTTGGCGCCCCATCACTGTTCAGAGTGCTTTCAGCAACCGCATCTTCACCGTTGTACGGGATTACATCACCCCCTGCATATCCAACGAGGAGATGCAACACGGCTTTCAGCGGGATTGCACAGTCCAGGACGCAGCCGCGCTCACCTCCCTACTCATCGAACGCGCACAACGCCGGCAGGAAGAGCTCTTCCGTATATCCAAGGCCGACACGGGTGCCAACCTGTAGCAAACGACAAGAAGCGCATCGATGGCAGCAAGACTACGTGCACGTTATTGCTTAAGATGCTTCGACCGCATCCCAGGCTGGGTCATGGAGTACATCTACCGCAAACTCGGTGTCCCCTCCCTTCCTCGCCAGCTCATGGCCCTTTTCTCGGGGTCAGCCAGATCGACATCCGCACGACCTTTGGATGGCTAGACGTTGGCATCCGAGAATTCGACCAGAGCTCCATCCTAGCGGTCATGTACATTGGCTACTACATGGATGTATTCATACGTTAACAATAGGGTGGCACTGACCCCGTCCATATCACCCACAGTCAACACTCTGAAGAACCACCCCACACGCGCACCATCTCCAGGCTCCTCTTCGTCGACGACGCACTCGATATCTCCACCTCCTACACGGGCATCCAAGACCGTGCTACGATCTCCAATCACTTCACAGGCTAATCTGCATCGGGAGGCGTTTTCGGAGCGGACAAATCATTCCTCTTTTACCTCTCACTCCACACACACCCTGCTATCTCCCTCAATGATGGACTTGGAAACCCCCAACCCATCCGTGTAGTGGGGCCCTCCGAGGGCGTTAGGCACCTGGGCATACACCAAGGAACCCCAACCAATGGGAGGAGACCACCCGTACAACCTGACTCAAACCTAACACCCAGGCCACTGCCATTGCCCCTCGCGGCCTCGGAAAAAAGGAGTTACAGTACATCATCAACGCTGTCTGGATTCCAAGTGTCCTATACCACACTATCGCCCCTGCTCTCGACACCCTTTTCCGTAAGATGGCTCGACGCGTCTTCCGTTTACCGCAAGACCATCCAAATACATGGTTTTACGACCCCACTGATGGACTGGGTCTCGTCCATTGTGAACGCTTCAGCCACCGCCAACGGCTCTGCCAACTCCTCCGGATTACCTACAACCGTGGCTCACTAGCCACGATACCTTCATGGAATCTCTTCAGGCCAACCGCTCCCACGGCAGCATGGTCCGTAGGTAGGTGGCATTACTAATGAAAAGGGCACTATGCTGCTCAGCCTTCCGTCCCTACGTACCAAATTTGGCTGGACCCGCGCAACTCTCCAACGATTTGCCCCCATATGGGACGCCATCCCCACAGGTATGCTGTACAACCCACTACCTACACTCCAGCAACAGACCCTCCAGTGGGATCCCCAACCTGCCAGCCAGTCGCTGCCTACCCATCCGCCGACACTGCTACGGTCCCATCTCCCATACCTTGAACAACCACTCGGTCGCACGTTCTTCACATCCTCCCGTGGCTTCGAAGCCATCCAGATCCCTCTCCATGTCATGCTTGTCGTCCCCCACCACCTTACCCATCGGGACGGTAGACCTGTCACACTTAGCTACCGCATTGGCCGACGTGCCAGTCTCCAAACTTGACATACTCCTGCTAGCCCAGAAATCGCCGTCACCTCTGGCATGAACTCTGAAAGGGCTCGGACATCTGGTACTCACCTACACCACGCGAAGCCCGTAGCCGACTTCGCCTGGTCCCCATTGCGGGGTGTACGATCCTCAATGTTGACCTCATCCGCACCAGCCGCGTCCAATGCCACAAATTCATCACCGGGACAGACACGTCATAGACACATCCGCGCAAGGCACTCCACACACCGTGGCAACAATACTCACTCCGTCGGCGATGGCAGCATCACGAACTAGGGCAACCCTGTAGGACACGGCACATGGAGCCACTTGGACCGCGACGGCACCACCCTTGTAGGGTCCGTTTGGTTGTGTACACCCCGACCACATCACCCCCGCACGCTGCGAAATACACAGCCTCCTGGCAGGCCTGCATCACTCCGGGGATGTAGCGCTCCAAATCTGTCACAACACCACGGCCATAGGCCTTGTTATACTGGCCAGGTCTCTCAAACGCCGCGGAGGGCAACCCCGCTACAGCAACATCCACAGGGTGGAACTTCGCTTGCTCGTGGCCCTCCTCACTCCAGTGGGCACGTTTGCAGGTGAATAGATACGCTCTCATCAAGACATACCGTACATGGCACGTCGGATCCGGTCCTACGTGCCAAACTGCTTGCGGAAGCCGACTCCCTCGTCACACTAGCACACCAGCTCCTCCCACTCATCAACTGTGCCCACCTCATCATTCCTGACTCCGGGAACTTCGCCATGACCATGACCGGCCGGTCACAGGTGCAACTGCCCCTTGGCTTGGTGCCGTGTACAGCAGGCATGACTGGCCCGCCGCACAAGCCCGCTAAGAGCATCCCCACCGGCTGATGTAGAAATGTAAAAATCTTCAAAGTACATCACTACATCAGCAAAATTTACATTTTTCAGACCCACACCGGTTGCCAATAAATTTTACATCATGATGTAAACGCTCCATAAACACAGATTTCTCAACAGATCTGTTGGGTCGTTTACAGTTCTATGCGATTGAGGTCCCAACTTCTTCAACGAAGCACGCTGGCAGCATGAATATGAATCTTACAGACAATAGAATGTGTGCCAACCCTGCTGCACTAGATTCTCCACTGGCGAGAGCTCCAAAATCTCAATCGCCAGCGGGCGTTCAACACGAATTTGCTCCATCAGGACTACTATTTCCGCCAACCGGTGTGGATTGGCTGTGAAGTGATGTACTACTGTTACAGCACGCAACCAATAAACGAGTCTTTTCAGACACCCGTCGCATAATCCAGCCCATCCGCCTCAACACTGGATTCCTATGCAAATGGGACCTCCCCGCCCTCTCCTTGTACTGGCGTGCCATCTGCTACACCCTCCACACTAACGTGCGCAAGCACCACATCCAAAACCGCTGGGACGCCCACTGCCGTACGTGCCCGGACTCCCTCGACACGCAGGAACATCGCTTTGGACTCATGCATCCGCAATGCCCCGAGGCGATCGCACTCACTCAACACCTCCTCCACGCCACACAAGCCATCATCCCGAAAGCTTGGCTCCCCTACCAGGATATCTACCTTCCTGGGCACTGCACCGCAAGTGCGAGTACCTACACTGGTTTGACCAGGCCGCAATGGCAGACCCGCAGTCGTAACCCCTCCCCAAACTCGGACCACAGCATGATCCCAATCTATCCGAAATGCTGTGTTCTGGTCCACATGCACCGACTCCTTCGGACCTTCCTGCCCGGCGACACTCGCACTCGCTGCCACCCAACTCCACTGGGAATCTACCCAATGTCGGCAGCCGTGTGGCTTACAACCCCGCTGGCTCTACCACACAGCCCTACGCTTGACACCCCTTCCTGCACCCCGAGATTTCTGGTTCGGTTAGTGGATGGGGGGGGCCAATGGTGCTACCTTCCAAGGCCCGCTCGGATATTGCCCCGACTGCACCATATCCCGCCCCCTACGAGCCGCCACTGGTGGATCGATGTGGCCCACCATCCCTTCTCCACCACCTGGTGGCGCCACCTATCCACGGAAATACAGACAGTCACTGCCCACCACACACCGGCCTCCTACTCGTTCGTTGTTCCCGAAGGCTCCCCGGGACATACGCTAGCCGACAGCCTTCCGACTGCATAGCTCCTTATCATTCCCTCGGGCCAGCTCACCCTACGCAATTCTATTCCATCTACCACATTTCCACCACCCTATGGAGCAAGCTCTCCACTAGCAACCATTTTCCCATTCATATCGGTTTCCTCACCACCGGCACCACGCCTGGCCTCCTCACCCCCACCCATCTTCACTGGACCGCTGCTCTTCGCCTCCTGGACGCTATACACTGGCTACACCGCCCCCACCCACAATCTTCTGAACCCCGCCTGCCCTGGATTCTCACGGCTCCCACTCACTGCCTCCACTGGGCCCAGATCGACAACCCTGCCTACGACCAATACGTCCTCGACTCAAGCGCCTACCTCGAAGCTACCTACCCCACCATTTACCTCACTACCACTGTCTGGAAAATGCTAACCACCATGGCGCAATCCACCAGCGACTGGGCAGCTGCCCTCATGCACCTACACGCTCCACACTTCCACAAACAATGGTTCTCCGCCCAATGGGCAACCTCCGCCGACACTGGCACACCACATGCACCACCAATGTGGACCACATTCGCTCCGCCAGGGAACTCCCCCTCCTGACTGAGCTTAATAACAACATTCGGCACAAACTCCATCACCACGACATTGCCACAACTGGCCATGACCGACGCATCCGTACCCGCCTTGCCCACCTACAGGCCAAGACACTTCTCCGGCACTCCCGTCGCAACTCCTTACTGCCACCGGCCACCCCACTGCCCACAGGAAGCATTAACCCTCCGATCCGGCCTCCGCGACACCCCACAACCTGGGAGACCACCTCCAGCACCCAAAGCACACCGCTTCCCCCTGGAGTCCGCCAGAAATAGATTTTCAAGCAGTTAAGTTCGCTAGCTCCAAACGCAGCTAGTACGCGGCCGTGGCCATTAAGTGCCCGCTGAACGATTTTACTTTACAGCGTAATATCAATATCGGTATATAAATTGGAAAAAAATAGAGGTGGAGGATTTCAAAGTGGCGAAATCGTAGGGGTGTGCGCCTACGATTGCATACAAAAGTCAAGTTCTGGCCTACGAATTTCATAGAATGTGAAATGGATAACATCATTCTGCGGAATTCGTTGGCCAGAACTTGATTTTTGTATGGAGTCGTAGGCGCAAACCCTACGATTTCGCCATTTTGAAATCCTCGACCTCAATTTTTATGACAAACAATATTCATTTGATTTCAAAAAATGGGCGTATCTCTGTCCTGCTTCATAATTTTCGAATTGAAACTAGTCCTAAAGGTAGAGAATTCCCTGGTAAACAACCCATAATTAAGTTCGTAGGGGTTGGTCGCGGAATATTTCTGTCCATGTTTCGAAATATTCCGAGCTTTTGATTCGTTATTAACCAAAATATCGGGATAACACAATCGTTCACGCTTGACGGCATAACTCAGACATGGATGCGAGTTTTGAGGCGTGCATGGCCCGGTCCATCTACGCCTAGGATAGTCCGTTCATGCCTGGCACTCATTTTCATAAAAAACGAAGAAGTATTGATTTGGATTGCGAAAACATTTTATCCGGATACGTCTCATTTTTGGACATGGACTAACAGTAAATCTTCTCCGACCAGCCCTGTTCCGCACCTCGCACTGTAGACGTTCCGTCGACCAGCACAGCAACCACAACGGTGGTTAGACTCACAATGCAAACTGACTGGTATTAACCTTTTATACTAACCAGTCATCGATATCGACCACGCGTCGAAACCAGACGGTGCTCGACCTCCCATGTAGGTGCGGTTTGCCCTCGGTCATTTCCGCGGGCACACGACGCACTTCTGCGGACGCGGCAGAACACTTCCCCCTACAGTGAATGGTCAAGGGTCGCCTCTAAGTCGTCGCGCATTTCCTTGACGACGCCGTCGCTGGCATTCTACATGATCCAGCGGCGCAGGACGACTGCAATGTCTTCATAGAGTTGGAGGGCTGGCTCCCACGAAGCTTCTTCTTCGTCCAGGCCCTTCCACTTGACGCGCACTTCGATTTTCCGTCGGCGCTACGGCGAGCGCCCAAAAGTTCTTCGACAAAAATACCCTCATCGCCAAACTCGGCGTAGTCCACCAGGGCATCGGTGACATCCAATGCGGCATCGCTGAAAAACTTCAGCCGGCTGGCATGGTGGACCGACGTAGTAAACGGCTCCAAGAGCTGTTGGGCTTCCATCACATAGTCCGAGTCGACCCGCGATACGCGGTACGGACCTTTCCAGTTGAGTGCCAACTTGTTGGGGAACTTGATGATTTTTCCCACAAGTACAAAATCGCCCAGCGCAAACTTCACTAAGCGCACATGCGCTTTCTTCTCGCGGCGGCCTCGCGCTTGCTGCCGCAACTTCTCGCTTCGAGCCGCTATGTCGCGGTGCATATTTTCCATGGCTTGTCGCAGCACGTCCATGTACTCTTGACGCGCCTTCGAGAGCCAGTCCACCGTCAGTACTTTCTTGGTCCTTGGGTGTACGAACCCAGCTAAAGGGGTTGTAGACGGCAAGCCTTGAAACGCCGTCACTGGAGCCACACCGCCTAGACGGCCCGCCGGCTGGTGGTTCAACGCGCTCTGTACCAGGGCCAACACACGGTGCCATTCGTCCGGACGAAGCTTCATTTCGCTGGTCAGGGTCTTGAACCCTCGCAGGATAAGTCGATTAACGACTTCCACTGTGTCGTTCGCCCACGGCGTGTACGGCGTTGTGATATGGTGATGGGCACCGATCATCCTCTTGATCTTGCCCACGACTTCGTTCTTGAAATGGGTTCCGCCATCAGAAACCCATGTCGACACAATGCCATGTGTCGCAAACAAGTCATCAGGGCGTTTGCTGTGCTTTCCGCGTCGGCCGTTGCCGAAGGGAACAGACGACAAAACCCACTCATGTCGTCCTTGACGACAAGCACATATTTCCAGCCATTCGCGGCTGGCGGCAGTTGGAGCCAATCGAAGTGGATGAGCTCATTTGGGCGCTCCGCATGC